AGCAAGGCCCGGGGCGTCTGAGGCGAGCAGGGCCCTGCCAGCCCCTCCACGAGCAGGCCCCGGGGCACCTGAGGTGAGCAAGGCCCGGTCAGCCCCTCCGCGAGCAAGGCTGGAGCTGCGCCCCGGCCTCACGCGTAGTTTAACGTACAAATACAAGCTGATGGTTTTTAACGGTGAGGTACGGTCTCACATAAAAGAACGAATGAAGAGCAGCTTTCAAACGGATAAGATTTACCTTTTAACCACTCAATTTGAGGAGTAATAGGCCAATGTGCGCCATATTTCTTTCTGTGATTGTGCTGAAGTATGAGTCCAAAATGGGAAGGCAATTAAAACAATCAACTGTTTTTCAAAAATTCACCTCAAGTTTCGGGCATTACCACTTTTCTTCCTGACCTGTTGCAGGACACTGATGGAGAATTTGGAGCTTTCATCCCTTTTTGAAGATGCCAAAGTTGTCATCTCTGGGGCTTTTCTACAAGGTTCATCCCACAGAAACAAGGTGTGTGTAGAAACACGTCGTGACACATACAGCCATTACATACCAGCTGTCATAAAGACACTCAGGTTTGAAAAAAGTTCCAAGGTTGAGGTCTTTTTTTAGGCTGAATAGGAAGACTATAAATGATTCACGGCTGTTATTTAACCTTTGTTCACGTATGGGATGTTGGTAATTAATGGGCAGGGAGGGGCATGTGCAAACTCCTACTTATCATATTGCTTTGCTGTACTGATAGTGTGTAATTGCCGGCTTCCTTGCAAAAGGCATTGCAACCTATGAATGAAGAACGGTATTAGGCTACCAGAATACACAGAGATTTATTTTAAGTATTGATACTATTCTGTGGTTAGACTCCTCCTTGGAGGTAGCCTGAATTTTGCGTTCCATTATGTACCAGAGGAGCAAAGTTTTTGGTTAGGCAACCTGATCGATTGAGAAGAATGTGTGTGTGAGTGGAGCACTGAATGCTGAAATGTAGTCCTGTTTCTTGAAGTCTCCAAGTGATCGAACAGCATCAGTGAAAGACCCAACACTTCTCCCAGTGAGAGTAAGACACCTAATGAACCGTCTTTCTGTTGCTGGCATGAACTCCTACTACCACACTTTGCGAGTTGATTTCAGACTGATCCAGATTAGCAGTATATGAGACTATAAAGACTAAATCTGTCTTAAGATCCCTGAGTCCTACACACCTTTTACAGTTCCCTTCTGTCCTTTACCTTTACTTACGTGTTTGTGGACAGTTGCTGTTAACGCATTTATGAGTGCTGACACCTGCTGTTCTGATATTAGTAATGCCTCGATATTTTTGGTTTGTTCTATTGTCGACAATTTTGTGTGAGTTTACCTGTACTCTTGCAAAATTAATTACCACTGTGGATGGAAGTGGTTCCACCAGCAGCAGTTTTACTGTCCTGCTGTAATGTCTAACCATGGGCAGTGCAATTGGCAAGCGAGTGTTTAAGGTGATTTGACCGAGGTGCTTCTCTGAAATTCATCATGTCTCTTTCCATTTCTCTACCATGCAAACCATCCGTAAGAAAGTTGGAAGAAAATGCTAAAATGTCCAAAACTGCTGTGTATATTTAACATGCAGGGCTATTCTTTGAAATACGTAAAAGGAAAAGAGAACCTTTGAGCTGTCCAAAGGAAAACTGAGAAAGAGTTGTGCTTATGTAGGTTCAAGTTGTCATCTCCATGCAGCTCAAATACCATGAAGCAGCTGTGATACAACATTCGACCGTGAGTAGTAAATACCATGATGCTAGAATTAAATTAGAATTAATGGGATTCCATCAGCTGGCATCTCATTGTGTAAAAACAGCTCAGTCCTCATCCAAAGAGACCAGATCCAAGGACAAGAATATCGCCCACTTTGCCTTGTTACTTAGAAAATGAATTACTGAGTGCTTTGTGGGATAAGTCTTTTCATTGTTCATATCTAAGGAAACAGTCACAATATTTCTTCTGTATAAACGATTGAACAGTCATCAGCTCAAACATTGTGATGACTGTCAATCTGCACTTTTTGGATCCCGTTCCTCATTTTGGAGAAGTCCTTCCTGTATCATGTAAAAATGTGGTTAAAATTTGTCACTAAAAAAATCTTGTAAAATAGAATATAAGATGGCATGTATGTTAACAGCAGAGCTGAGCCGCGTTTTCTTGTCTTCCTTTTTAAAACAAGAGTAATGCATTTAGAACAAGCATGTAAGAAGTAGGAGAAAAAAAGCGTCTATCACCCAGTTACCATAAACACAACAGAGATACGTATGTATTCCCATCCTTTAGTGGAAGAGGTCAAAGGATGGAGGTGATTATATATGAACGCAGCGTGACATTTAACTGTCCATGGGAGCACCTTGTAGGGATAACAACATACGGAGTAACCGGATGCATAATCTTGCTGGAGCAGGGGATGCCGTGGTGCAGACAGGTGGCCGGTCAGAGTGCACATTGCGCAGATCAGAACACATTTACAATAGAACGGAACATAACTCAGTGGAATACGTGATATTGAAGCTCCTAATGTTATAAGGAAGTTGAGAGTGTCTGCAGTTTTACCTTTCTTTTTTTCCTGACCTTAGGATCTTCTGGCAAATAGACTGCTTTAGTGTCTCTCAATATTGAGTGAGAGGGAAGGAGGGGTGTGCTTGAAATGGGAGGAACAGGGTCTGTGAAAACAGACAGATAAGCTACGATGAACCCTCATCGCCCATAGCAAATTTGGCACTAGAAAAATCTAAGCTGGTGCCAATAATAAGATAAGTGCTTTTAAAATTAATATGAATTGAGCATTAAAAAAAGTACTGCATTGGCTTACCTTATTTCAGCAAAGAAGAGGAAGCACCTATTCATCTGCCCTGACGTTCAAGGAAAAGCATGCAGTTAAGGTCTTTATCCTTCACGAAGCTGGCAATCTCACTTCATCTAAAGCTGTAATACCTCAGCAACAGGTTGTGTACTTACGTACAAATTTATGTTGGCATTTTTCTCAAAGAAGAGAAAGCCTGCTGTCTGATTTTAGGTGGGCCCTCGTTCGTGATACTTCTCTTTGGTGGGTTGCTGCTGCCATCTGTTTGCTCTTGTGCTCTTTGCACAGGTAATTTCTAGAAAGTTATCCAGCGTGCTAAGTCCCTTCTCCATTCCTTTCAGCTGTGTGAACTGAGTGATGCTATCATGTAATTTAATACAACTTTAGTTTTTCCTTAAATACTGATGATAAAAGCACCAGGATTAATGACAAGTAGCTGTAGTAACTCAGAAGTCCTTTACCATGGTGAGATGCCTCAAGGGACCTGAGTTAGAGTTAAATCAGATGCTTTCTGCAGACTGTGAAGGCTCCTGAAATAAGTAAAAGACTAAGTATGAAAAGAGAAAAATGAAAAACCTAACCTTTACTAAATAATAATATCTGAATGTCCTCTCATTCTAATTTTTGGTTCAATAAATAAAGGAATTAAAGAATTTGATTTCTGTCTGGTGAGAAAAGAAGAGTGGGCTTGAAAATTGATTTATTAATCTCTAGGCCTTATAAAGAGAAAAATTTCATTGGATTTTGCCTTTATCATTTACATAAGTCAGTTTGATTTCAAATATGGAAGTTCCTGTCAACAAGAACTCCTCAGTATTAACCTGGAGCAAAGCCTGTGTTTATTTAGTCTTTCCTTGAATTCTAATGAGTCTGGTAGGCAGTTAATTAGAAAGAGCATTTGTGTGAAGTGTATCGGCCTCGGAAACACCCGTTCTATTTCTTGTGTGGCCAGTAGCTACAGCTTTGTTACCTCTCAAATGGGAAATAGTCCACAATCAGTATATTTATTTACCATATGTTGCTTATCAATATGTGATTTTTTTAGGTAGAAAAATCTGAGAGCAGTATACAAAGCTGCCATTAGATGTCAGCATGATATAACCACAACTACGACCTGTGACAGTCTGGTTTGAAGCACGTATTTTTAAGTATATTGATTTTTGTCACCTCAGTCTTTGTTTTAGAGCCCTTTCTTATAGTAAAGTAAGGTGTAGTCTGTAATGATTATGGAATAATATCAAAGGCTGTTCCTGAAACTGTCTTTGATTCTTACCTTAAAAAGCTGCTGGGTGTGGAATGTTTAGC